AATTAAAGAGCAACCAGATTAATTGCATAGTTGATATGAACGAAGTGGTAATTGATCAGGAGGTGCCTGGCAGTGAACATTCATTTTTAGTGGTTTATTTTTCATCTTTTTTTTATTGACTCCAATTCTTTTGAGGAGTAGTCTAACAGCCTTTTAAGTAAGTTGAAAAACCTTTTACTCATATATGTTAACTTTTGTGAATTTGTCCTTCCTCCTTAGGGGTAACCATAGCATTATAATCTTTAATAACTAACATATTAAATATAGCTATTTTCCATTTGTTCTAAGGTAGACATACTGCTTGTTGGTTCATCAAGGATTCTGATGTATAGGTCTCCCAAAACGTGTAAAAGCACCTTCTCTTTTTGACTGGTAGTTTTGTTGCCAGCATTGATCAAACTCTTCAGTGGCTATGAATCCATGAAAACCATTCACAGCAGTAGTTTGGGGAGGTAGAAACTAAAAAGCTGCTTTTTTTTGGTACATAGCATTTTTCTTTCAGATTGTATAATTTGATATCTAGTATTCCGAGCCTATGTAATGGTGAACCATTTTAATGAGACCTTGCTATGGTTCTAAGAATTCTCATCATTAAAAAACAAGTGATTTCACCAGAAAGAAGAATGAAAGAGATGGTTTTACTGACATACTCATACATTCCTTGTTCTTCTCCCTTTTTCTCTTTTTTCCAGTGAGCATGTTTTTGAACACATTAACACCGAAGTTCTATGTGGCCCTGACAGGCACTTCCTCACTGATATCAGGGCTTATTTTGGTAAGTGGTGGAATCTGTCTCATTTAATAACATACTGATTACTAATATATATGTTAGTATATGTACAAGGAAAAAATCTGGAAGAATATACACCAGCAGTTTACAGTGATTGTCTTGCATATGGGTATATGTTGAGTGGGGGACTTATAGAGGCCTTTCACTACCCAGTTAAATATTTCTGAAATATTTGAAAAACAATTTTAAGCAATTATATATTACTTATGTTGAAGGGGGAAAAATGGGAATAAAATGGAAAATAAAGGAAGACACAATTCTATGTCAAATTCCAGTGTCTAAGATACTATAAAATAAATGTAACTCGGTTCAACAAAAAAGTGATTTTGATCACCCTCCTCAAAGTGGATTATTGGACATAATCAAGATCAGTAGAAATATAGCTTCGTTTCTTTAAATGTATTAACATGGATTGTGACAATTCTAACCTCCTTTTCCCTTTAGCTTTTTCTTCAAAATTTACATTTATTTTTATTGCTTCCTTTAAAAAATACCAAATAGGCAGAAATCAATATGAATATCATCCGTATGGCTCCAATACGGTAGCCCTGTAATAGTTGCAGGTGTGCTAAATTATGACACCTGAAGTAGTTAATTTTAGTAATCTCTAATGTGAACCATCTAAATTCAATAGGACTACTCTAATATAATTAAATGACCTTTAAGGAGAAAGAAGTTTTAGAAAACCTTTTTTTTCCTGTGCATACAATGCTGTGATTACTAATTATTATAGAAACAGGTGCAAGAACAATATTAATATTACAGAGTTGATGTTAAGAAAAATGGAAGGTCAGTAAAAAGAAAAGTTTAAGAAGAGAAGGACACAAACATGTGGAGCAGAGAGCATAACTGGGCCTAGAGTAAATGGAGGATTTCAGATTCTAGAGCTTGTAAGGAGCCAGAGTGAAAAGGTGGAGAAATGTATGCAGGGCAGAAACCTGCAAACAGGTGAAAGAGCTGTAGCAGTATGGGGAGCATATTTTTGTGATCAGGGAATATCCAGGTTTGTTTTGCTTTGCTGTATTACATGGACTGCTGAGATGTTTAAAGTTGATGTTGTTGAGCCGGGAATGTGAAGAATATCAGCAGGAGCCACTCCAAGAAGGTTACATAAGTGGAAATCCAAATAGAAAGCCCAGTGCTGGCTGCAAAGACCAACCCAAGGTGAGGGGAAGTGTATTAAAGCTCCTCCTTAAAATGAGTTGAAATAAGGTATGTGTGGTAATTTGTACCATGTTGCCGTTTTTTCCCCCTTGAGACAAGGTCTCACTCCATTGCCTGGGTTGCAGTGTGGTGGTGTCATCACAGCTCACTGCAACCTCAAACTGCTGGGCTCAAGTGATCATCCTGCCTTAGCCTCCTGAGTAGCTGGAACTACAGGCTCACACCCCCACACCCAGCTAATTTTTTAAAAAAAATTTTTATAGAGATGGGGTCTTCCTATTTCCCAGGCTGGTCTCAAACTACTGGGCTCAAACAATCCTCCCACTTCGGCCCCCCAAAGTGCTAGGATTACAGGCATGAGCCACTGTGACTGGCCCCATATTGCCTCTTAAATACTTATCTGCTCACCTGTATGTGTCTCTGAAGTCTTCCTTGTTCTTTAGAGACTTGAGAAAAATAATAACACTGTAGAGAGTTGTTAATAAAGCTATAAAGTTGGTCACTAATTTATTCCATTTAAGGACTATATTTAGTCCAAGATTGTGTCCTTCCTACTTTTTAATGTTAAAATTTCCTTCTGAAATGATGGTGATAGTATATAGTAGTGTTATTTTGCTATTATTGCTTGGCAAAAAAAAAAAAAAAACAAAAACTAGCAACCCAGATTGGTCTTCAAATTTGGTTGCAGGGCAAGAGAAATTGTAATAGAATGTAAAATCCAAAGTCTGGGAACCATTGGCCTAAGAGACCAACAACCTCAAGAATTTACTTCTGCTGAACCTGTGGAGGAGCAACATAAATTGTCCAAATGGGAAAAAGTAAAAATATTTGAGTCTTATCTAGAGCAATGAATGGGGAAGAGAAAGGCTTTAGATAATCTCTGAAAAATTCTTCACTCTAGAGAATCCAGGGCAGAGGAAACTGATCTGAGAGGGGATTTGGTGGAGGAAAGCCAGCAGAAACTATTTTGCTAGAAAACCACAGGAAAAAAATTGGGGCAAATGTTAAGGTATGGGAATGAATCTGTTACTCCAAAGATTTCTAACTTCCTTGATTAAAGAAAAGATTTTTATTAGGAAGCAATATATTTAATATTTAGAGTTAAGTAAGAAACTATATTAACATATTGAGAATTACACTATATCCAGAAGAGGACAAAGAGTAGGTAGAAGAGGAAGAGAGAAAGTAATGAAAAGGA